GTCTCGATTTCCCTCTCACTTCCTCCCCCCCCTTCTATCATATCCATCTCTTTAATTTTGCTTTTTAATCCTCTTTAAAGAAAAGAAAACCGAAGGCTTCTTAAATCTTGAGAGCGAGTGGTTCTTCTTCCTCCTAAGCCTGCCAGCTCCTTTTTCAGCAGGCAGTAGGGTGTTCCTTTGTTATCCTCCCACCGTTTAAAAGGGAAAAAAAAAAAAAAAAAAGAGGTGAGGGCTTGGTGCCCAGCAATCTTGTTTGCAGCTGAGCGGGGGTTCAATCCAGCTTGACTCCAGGCCAACCTGGCTGCTGAGTGAATGGATGTGCTTGCTGGTTATCTCTTGGACCCCATGCTCTGTGGCTCTGCTGGGCCTGAAGTTTTGCTGGAAGACTTTCCCAGGAGCCTTGGAAAGTTTTTTAAATATCCCCCTTTGCAGAGGAAAAAAAGTGATGCACAAGCATTTGAAGGCTGAAGTTTGAGATCATTTTATTTCTTTTCTTACAAAGTTAGCAACGGCAGGTCTCAGGATTCTCTTTCACTTTCCTAAATGCTTCTCAGCTCACGATAATTCCTGAGGCTCTGGGAATTTACCCCATACGCTTTTCTTCCTTCTTCTTTCCGGGGTCTTCTGGACCTCTTCCCCTTGCAGTTTCCCTTAAATGAACAAAATCATTTTTGTGTTGTGTCACCTTGGGAGTGACTTCACCTGGGACTTTGTAACCATAAGAAACTTACCGGCCTGCTGTTTCCTTCTCTTAAGTCCTACTATTTGTGATATTCTTAAATAGCTTCTTCTCCAAATAAACAGCTTGGGTCGCTTCCCAGCCAGGAAGGCCACAATTGTGGGAGTTCACAACGGCTGTAAGTCAGCACAATTTCTCAGTGGATGGACAAAAAAGCCACAAAAGATGCATCTTTTCATCCTTCCGAAATGTTTACTGCTCCTCCTGTTCCTACTCATCCCACGAGCTCTTATGTTCTCCCTCCCCCGCTTTTTCTTTTCCTTTTTTTTTTTTAAGGCCTAAAAGCAATGTTGACATTCTGGCTTCTTAACTTTTCCTGGCATCGTTCTTTTCTCAAGGACATCCTTTCAAGCAAAACCGACCATAATATTTTTCTCAGGAATGATGCTCCAATCTTCTCAGTCAGCCAAGCATTTCATTGTCCTCCAAAACATTAGGTGCTTCCTTATGTCCCAAAAGAAATGAAAAGAATTGGAGGGTTGTTGTTGTTTTTTTTGTGGTAAGCAGTATACTTTCCCTAACAAAATGTAATCGTGAATCCTCCTTGCCTATTTCAGCAATCTGCATTTTGTGTTCTTAGTTCTTCAGTTGGACTGCTCTTCTTTTGTGTTTATTCTGAGGTAAGTCAGTCTTACTTCGGGAGGAACTACAATCTTGTTGAAAACAGTGCTGTCTCTTATTTTTTTCTTTTAAAGAAAAGGCCCTGTTATCCCAGCCTCTCTTTGTAAGCTCAGGATGCCATGTTTTTTTTCCTCCCTTCTGAACTTGTTAACAGAGAAAGTTCCTGCTTTCATGCTGCTGTTTGAAGATAGTAGTTAGCAATTTGGAAAGCAGAAAGGCCTCAGTTCAGAAATCAGCAAGCAACGAATTATCTCTGGACAGAAAAAAAAAATGGCCTATGAATGATTTAGAAGCTTGCTCTCCCTGGATGGAAGCTGTAATCCAAGAATTACCCTCTTTCAGGAATAACATGGGAAAGAATAACATTGCCGTTGCATAGGTTGGAACACGGAGCAAACTCTTCTAGAGATTAGTTTTGGGAAGACTAGTATACATTCCATTTTCATATAGTCTAGCTACCTTGATCTTATACCCTTTTGGCCTTTGTTCACCTGACAGCAAGGTGAGAGAACTGCTGTTCTTTAAAGGAGACACGTTTACTCAACTATCTTTTCTCCAAATTCCTGATTGATTTATTTTTTAAACCACTTCCGTCTTTATTGCCGGTCTTGAAACATTTGCTATCTGGTAGTGAATTTATTGCCATTTGTTTGGGTTTATAAGGGGATGGAGGATAAGCAGTGGCCTATTGGTCTTCAGCAGGATGGCTTCAAGGAGCAGAAGGCCACTTTGGAGAGAGAGGAAGAGAGCCAAAAGTTACTTTAATCCCGCTATCTGGCCCGTTTAGCGAATCGTATTGAAGTCGATCGTGGGATATAGGCAAAACTGGTGTCCCCTTAGACGCCGCCTTCTGCAAACTAACTCATCTTGACAAAAGGATTTCCTTTCTCGAGCTCTACTTGTGGATTTTCACTCTTGCAAAGAAGCACCATTTGTTAGAATCTCCCCTAATCAAAAGTCTCCAGCCAGGGACCTTGTTTTCTTAGTCCT